TTATTCTGTATTTTGTTTTTTTTTTCTTCTATGTGAATTTGATCGGCAACTCGTTTCCTTGTTAATTCTCTCAATTTCATCTTCACTTTTTATCGTCCCTTTTGATTTCTGTACAAGGATTTTAGGGTTCTTGCAGTAGTTTTGGTGAATCGAAGGGTTTCCCTTTTTATTTCGTGAGCCTCCAATTCTCAGATTGGGTCGGTTTGCGGTTGTTCTTCGTTAAATTAGGGTTTCTTCCCGTCGATGGGCGAATTTGATTGATTTATGACGAGAGATGATTGGTGAACCACCGCGAAGGAAAGTTGGGATGCCGAAACTCAAGCGTTGCTCAGCGGTGGATTCAGAAATTGGGAATAGCGACGGATTTGAGCAATCACGCGTCGTCGCTAGAAATCCCGTGAAGATGCAGAAGACGACCGATCAGTGTTTTACTGTTCCTATCGCTCAAATCGAGGCGAGCAGTGCTGGGTTTTCAAACTGTTGGGCAGCGACTGGAGTCCGATCCTACAATGCTGGAGGGGACACCACAGTTCGCAAGACTGCTGAAAATAAGCCTCCATTGTTGAAGTCCTCCAGAGGGCGCAAGCAGGTGCTCCCCATGAAATTCAGCGACTCAGTTTTGCACTCGTGGAAGAAAGAAAAGTCGGAGTGTGGTGATGATCCGAAGAGCTGTGTGGATGATAATGATGAATGCGTTCAGGATAACAAGAAGTTGAAGCGGAAGGAGGCGTCTGCATCTTACAATGACATATACTTAGTGAAGAAACCACGGACAGAAAAGCAGTATGGTAACTTCCAGGTGAAAAACATTACTTCTGAGCCATATCCGAGTTCCCTCAGTTCGGCAACGTCCATAAATGAAGGAATTTCCTCTTCTTCAATGATGGATAGAGTTGGGAAGCTGAATGGGCATGCAGGACTGATGAGTCCCGTGAAGAAGAAAGTAGTTGAGAAAAAGGCTGATTTTTATGAGCCCAATGATTTTGTTACGGGAGATATAGTCTGGGCAAAATGTGGGAAGCATTTTCCTGCTTGGCCTGCAGTTGTGATTGACCCTCTCTGGCAAGCTCCTGAGGCTGTACTGAGAGCTTGTGTTCCCGGCACTCTATGTGTGATGTTTTATGGGTACTGCAGAAGTGGACAAAGGGTATATTTTTATATACTTATATTTTTTCCCACACTTGGTACTCCAGTTCTTGCAATTTTACATGTTTATAATATTGTCTGTAAGTAATACTACTCTTCAACAGAAGGTTGTCTATTTCAGGCCTTAGTAAAGATAATGTAAAAATTCTTTTATGCGTAGGATTATGGGTGGATAAAGGCTGGAATGGTTTTTCCGTTTCACGAGTACATGGACAGGTTAATACGATTGTGTTTGTCTTAACGCGTGCTAAGTGAGGGAAGTTGGATTAAGTTTGTTTGATGTTAGATTTCAGGGGCAGACTAAGTTGCATGGTAGTAAGCCAAGCGATTTCCTCGGGGCTATAGAGGAGGCAGTTTTAGTAGAAAATGGCTACGAGAATTCGGACATGGGAACCAGACAGGAAACATTACCTGTGCCAGATCACAGTGATGTTGAAGAAGCAACTGGTTCGAATCAGGAGTCTGAATGTAACGTTCATCAGGCAAGTCTCAACCTTCGCTAACTAGCCTATTATTGTAAAAGAATATAGGAAATGAAAGAAAAGAATTGAACAAATCGATTGGCGTTAATGTTACAAGTTCATTGGATTTTCTACTCAAGATCTAGTGACACTTTAAGTTTTGTAGTCTTTGTTTTTCTATTTCATGTTACAAATAACTTGTGGGACTTGGAGACAATTAAGTCAATTTTGCTTTTGAAGAGTTAGCCAATTTCATTTTGCTTCCTTGTTACAGGAGATGCCTGGTAAAAAGAAAGATACCCGAACATGTGGCAGCTGTGGTGTGATATTTCCATGTAGAATGTTGAAAAAAATGAAGAACGCAACAACCAAGGCTCTTTTTCTGTGTGAACATTGTATTAAGGTGAGCATAAAGATTGTTTCTTTTTTCTGTTCAACACTACAATGGTTTTACATTAATATTTGACGATTTCTAACTTTAGAAGTGGCAATTTTTGTAGTTAAGAAAATCCAATCAATTCTGTGGTATTTGCAAGCAAATTTGGCATCATTCTGACGGTGGCAGTTGGGTGAGATAGTCTGGGATGCTCATGTCCTTCTCCTCCTCCTTCTCCTTCTGCTTCTTTTCCTTCTCCTTCTTCTTCCATCATGCACGCGCGCACGTGTTATATGGAGTAACGACTTATAAATTAACTTATTCTC